TCAGCCATTGAAATCAATAGCCCTTGGCCGTTTCATTGTCTGCTCTTCGGATACGCACATGGGACCAGTTGTCCGTACACGTGTGTGAGTGTCTAAATGTGCACTGAAAAAAAAGAAGGCATAGAAATGATAGAATTAAGAAAAGATCAAAAAAGCTCCATGGTTCGAGCTGCACGAAAGCCTGATTAGCTCCTTCAATGATTAAAGATAGTCCTTCATTTATTAACATGCCCATGAAATGGATAGAGTTTAAAAATTAATTGATGAAATATTAAACTGAAGCATAAACAGTCTGAGAACAATTGCATTAAAACAGCAAACAGAATAACAATTCACACAAGAACTAATCAGAAAACTGTTTTAATATTCTGAATTTATGTAATTTTGTAGATTTGAAAGTATTGAGTATTACAAAATATAAATTATTATGATAATATTATCAAATATTAGTATGTACATATTACAATCATTGCGCTTCATGGGTTTTCTTTTGTATAATTTTTCCATTTTATTTAACCATTTTTATTTCTACATTTTGCTTAATTAAGTAGAAAAGGAAAACTGCCTGAAGTCTTAACATACAGATATCTTAACCTCACTTGTAAATGCATAATGTTTTTAAGAAATATGAATAAATTGAAATTAAAGTACATATTTAAAAACCGTCTAGAAGCAATGGAAGCCAAAACAAGCGAATTATCAAACAGAAGTTTAATATTTAAGCAGATATTTGGTCTGCCGTGGACAACTTTAATAAATACAAAGTATTCTTATTCGATAATGCTTCAAAATTTCAGATGAGTTAATTTTAAACTCTTTTTAAAAACGTCTTTTTTGAAAACAAATTTTAAGCTTGATGAAAATATTTTGATAGAGTAAGTTACGTGTGTTTTTCCTACATACGAGTATAAAAGTTTACTTGGAATAGAACAAGTTTTTGTAACTCTCGTACCTAGGTATATTTTCAGAGTAGATTTCGTTTAAATTTTCGAAGATTTTTCAAAGATTTTCACATTAAATCGTTGGTTTATAGTATTTGTAATGTGAAAAGATTTAAAATGTATTATTTATTTAGTTCAAAAATTGAAAACAAAATACTCAACATATATATATATATTAAGAATAAAAAAATATTGTCTCTGCTTATTGCCTTACAAATTTGGTGTAGTAATAGTTTACAGATCTCTCTCCCTCTTGTATTACCAAATTGTTTTGGCGGACAAATTTGCAAACCCACGTCACCATTAAGAAAACATGAAGCTTTTAAGTTTTGAAACTCTCTAGACTCAATATTGATATATAAGTTAGTCAGTTAGTTATACTGATTTGAAATAAAATGAGTCGAAAAAAAGTTTACGAATAGTTGCAAATTTCGAATTTGTTTATTTTATGTATTCATTGGAATTGTTTCCCAAAATTTCAAGAAGTTAAACATTTGTTAATCGAATCTCTAATACATTTTTCTATTCAATTGAATTGTATATTTTGAGTTTCAGAAACTCCTTTAATTGTTAGTAGATACTTATAATAAATAATCTTAAGAAGTATACAGGCAAAACTAATTATTTGACAACTTCAAATAATGCCACTGATAGAAGTTACTTACAATTCCATTAGGTGTTTCGCGCAGTGCAGGCTACACCTGATCACATATCAATGAACGCTGCCAAAATCTGCTCGTCCATCAAGCCCCACTCTCAATGCTAAACTTGTCCAGTCTGTCTGGCCATCACAGCAGACATCAGCCTCAGAGCTAGAGCCAGAGCCAGCCAGCATCGGCCTCTGCTTGAAGCACAGTGGCGCCAAACGATTTTCAAGTGACAATGGCGTCAACAAGACAGCCACACAATGGAGGGGACGACGACAATCTGTGGGCCTAGTCTTTACACATCGACATCTTTTTTGGCAATTAATCAGCCACGGACAGAGGCCGAGGCAGTCGCTGAATAAGTCGATCGATCGGTTGGGTAACCAGTTGGGGCTTATTAGCTCTGTGGCCAGCGACGAATTGTGGCGCATCATTATCGTTATCGTTATGGGCGAATTTCTAATCCAACTTTTGTGTTTTACTTTCTACCAATTTACAGCAATTGTTCGCCAATTATTGGTTAGGGGCAGGGTTAGGAATCGAGCTTTGGCCCTTTTGAGTTATTTTAACTAAAGATTTATAATTTGTTATGTATTGTGTGTGGATCTGCGCCCAAAACATCAAAGGTGAAAGCTTCCTTTGTCACGGTAGCAAGACAAAAAATATCTAGTGGCATTAGACGAGCATTATCTAACCAGGTTTTGAAAACTCTATTTATTTTGATCCGGAATTCGATTACAATTTAATATAAAAAGACGAATATTGAAAAAAGACGGCGGCTATATATTATTGTCTTTCTAAATACTCTCTATGAAGATGTCTTTTTTTTTTACTTCTTAGACCAATCAATTGGCTGATTACATGAAATTCGACAACAATAAATGTTTAAATATTACAGTTTTATGCGAAATATAGTATATTCAAAACCCACTTAAGCTCAAGTATGATTCAATCTTACGGCATGTCTTGTAATATTAACTCACGCCTAGCATTATTGTTAGAGGCAACAATCGACTTTGGAGGACTTATTCGTGGCTAAGTGTTTTTCAACAAAAAGTCTATCTTTCCAAGAAATGTAAATTCTTATAGATGCCACTAAATATAAAATGAAACCTTCTAATATGTATTTCGGGGCGGGTATGTTCATACTTATGTACTTTTAAAGTCGCGAATGTATTTTGAATTGCTTTCAAATTCGCTTTTGCCAAAATTAAAATGGATTACTGCCTAAATCTTATTTAATTTAATATCAAGTTACTAAATTAAAAAAGTTGTGAGTTATTGCAAAGTAAGGAAATAAAGAAAATATACGAACGAAGGTCATTTTCCAAATTCTTAACATTTTTGGTTGCACTCTTTAATCCACTAACTTAAATTTGTTTTCCCTATTTGTTGATTCATTATTATTTGAAGAATCTTTGAAGCAAGTATTGCTATCAAAATAAATAAACAAATATAAATAATTGTTAAACTTTAATTCAAAATTGTTAATAAATATATATGAGAAATATTTGATTCAAAATTCGATTCGAAGTTATTAAATTGATGTTAAGTGAGAATATTTTAGTGAACTTTAAAAATTAAAAGTTAGTTTTCTGCATTGTTTTTCTCACAGCTTGTGTATAATCAAGGGCGTAAGCATTTAGTCAACATTTTAATTTGTTGACCCCCTTTTGAACAAGTTGCGTACGCCCTTGTGTATGATCCTAAATTTCAATTTGTTTACAGTCTATTTGTACTTCCTATTAAATAATTCCCAGGAACTGTAAGACTAGGCAGCATATATACTTGTAGTATAAAATTTTTTTTTTATATAAACACTTTTTATTATCTTGCTATATATTTATTGGCTTATAAGACCTATTTATATGGATTATATTTATTACTTCGACGTATTCTTGATAGATGATTGATAAGTATCCATCCTTTATCGAAGCTTTAATGTCCGCAGCTTGTGATGACTCAGACCTAGCAAATTACGTTCTAGGCTTAATTATGAAATTATCTGGCCATTATAAAGTTTGTGTGGAGCCAAAAGCCCCTCTTTATATCGAATCCACCCATCAACCATCTATGGAGAAATTGGCAGACAAACCTACAATTATTTGAAAAAAGAGCTGCCTTTTTTCTAATTTTCTAATTTTCAAATTTTCTTCTTCACTTTTATTGCAATTTAATAAATGTTCTTAATATTTTATAAACGATTAGATAAATATATGTAACAAAAGTGCATATATTTAGGTTGAAAAGTTGCACTTAAAATCGTTGAAGTAGCGCCTAACTTATATTCTAAGTTGAACAAGCAATCTATATAAAAATGAAATGACGATCACAAGAACTGATTAAGCAAAAGCTGAGCCATTTATGGTAATTATTAAAATAACCATTCATAGTTAGAATCGTCATTAGTAATATACTTGTGATATAAGTATAAGCATTCATAGTTAGAATCGTCATTATACTTATACTACTGGCACGTTTAATGATCGCCCGGGCTCTTACCATATGTTGCCGCCTTATATGATGCGTCATTCCGGCCTGGAAACCTGTCGTTGTTTGTGGTTGAAGGAAAGGCGATATGGCTTGATATATGTATATTGTTTGGGCCGATTAGTGGAATTTGCATACGCTATCGATTTCAGGCTAAAGTCTGTTTCGGAGCCAAGTGTGGGTCGCAACTTGTGCGGCTGAGAAATGGAAAGAAATGAAAAGCGGCGCCATTTTGATAGTTTAACATATTAATTTTAATTTTTGTTTCATTTTACATATTGTACGCGCTATTATAATAATAGTCATTAAATAGTTATTATTATTATTATTATTGCTTACGTAGGCTAGGCTAATTAAATATAATTTCACTTATTTGCGTAGGCTAGGGGGTAAGCATTAAATATTATTTTTAGTTCAAAAATGCGCTAATCGTATAAATTAAAACTCAGCGTACCAAAAACTCATCACAAATTTCTCATTCGATACTACGCTACAGTTGATAACAATTTCTAATAATTAAATGTACACATATGCTATATATATATATATAAAGATCTTTAAATGTGGACAATGGTGAAAAAATGTAACATAGATTCGTAAATAAATTCGTTCTTCCCAAATCAAAACAGAGACGAATGCTTGGCTTGGCTGATGGTGCGTATACGCAATATTTTCACATTTACCTCGGGGAAAACATTGAATCGAAATATATAGTATTTATATATATGTATATATGTATATTATTTTTGCTATTTGTTCGCCGGGATGTTCGGAATAAGCAACAGCAGCTGTGATTCTTACTTTGTGATATATTTACAGGAAAATATACAAGAGAGCACAACGCCACTAGTACGAGTTCGATTAGTTAGGGGGGGAGGAAGATGGAGGAGAATACTGGGAGGAGGTAGGGAGTGCACCCTCTCTAGACGCCATACTTGATGCCATACTCCTGATAGTGGCCCACATGCGGCCGATAGTGGCTTAGATTGCTGAGGTTGCCCAGATTCCCCAAATTCCCGCTCAACGCATGATGATGATGGTGATGGTGGTGGCTGCTGATTACGGCCGCTGCTGCCGCCGCCGACGCTGCTGCGACGCTGGCACTGGCCGGCGGACTGGCCGACTGTATGCTGCCGGTGGGACTGCCCGTGTCCAGTTGGCAGGATTGGTTCTGCTCGAATATCATGTCGCGGAATCCGAGGGAGGTGTGGCCAAGGGCGGCCGATGGACTGCTCGTCAGTATGCCGCTCACATTGTTGTTGTTGTTGCTGCCTGCATTGTTATTGTTGTTGTTGTGAACGCTGCCGACACTGCTGTTGTTGTTGCCATGTGTGGGTGTGCCGGCATTGTTGTTGTTGTTGTTGCTGCTATTGTTATTGCCATTGCTAATTGGCTCGGATGGCGGCGTCTCAGGCGTATACCAACCACCATGCGCCGGTCCGTGCGGTGTTGAGATCGTTGTGGGTGAAGCGCCCGATGATTGAACTAAGCCGCCGGGCCCACCATGACCGCCCGGAGTCAGTGGATGCGAGACATGGGCGACGTGCCGGAGCTGGGCGTGATGCGCCGCCGCCGCATGATGGGCATGATGCATTTGACTAGAGGCCACGGTCAAGTTATCCTCATTGAGATGATACGGATAGGCGCTGTGGTGGATGCGCGGATTGTAGACATTCATGAGGGAGTCGACGGTGAAGCCGGCATGCTCCACACCGCCAGTCAGATGATTCATTTGGGCCAAGCTGTCGTGGCAGGAGTTCAGCATGGCCGAGCTCAAGCCACCATGCGCATCCTTACCCCCCAGACAGCCCAGGTCCATTAGGGGCTCCTTCTTGAAGTGTGCATGCGCCGCCATGTGCTTAGCCTCTAGAATGCCATTGGTCATTAGCTTGAGTGGCTTGATCTCCGCCAGCTTCTCATTCATCATGGCCTGCCGCTTAATGGCCTCCTCCTTCTCGCGCATCACATCCTTCTTCTTGAAGCGCCGGCGTCGGCGCAAGAACGAGCCATTATCGAACATATTGTACGAGTCCGGATCGAGTGTCCAGTAGGAACCTTTGCCCGGCTTCTTGTCATCGCGCGCCACCTTCACAAAGCACTCGTTCAGGCTGAGATTGTGGCGTATTGAGTTCTGCCAGCCCTGCTTATTGTCCCGATAATAGGGGAATCGCTCCATTATATACTGATAGATGCCATTCAACGTCACCTTCTTGTCCGCTGCATTCTGTATGGCCATGGCGATCAGAGCGATATATGAATACGGCGGCTTCACGATCTCCTTGTTCTGATGCGGCGCTCCCAGGCCGTAGGCACTGGCCGAATACGGATATCTCGAGTACTGATCGTATGCGTAATGAGCTGCTGCCGCTGCGGAAGCGCTGCTCATGGCTCCGGCAGCGCTCGCAGCAGCAGCGGCCGTCGTATAGCCGGCGGTCTGCGCATAATGCCGCGAAAAGGAGTTCTGATCGGTGAAGAGTGTGTGCATGGCCGGCAATTTGTGTCCAGTAATTCGAGGTACTACGATATAATCTCTATCTTTCGCTTCAATACGATGTTGTTGCAGATTGACTTTAAGTTGTTGTTATTGTTGTTGTTGCTGTTTCCCTTTCAATTGCAGTTCAGCAGCACATGACAAATTGTTTGGCCACAAGTGCCACGCACTCTTTGTGAGATCTGAATTTTGGTTTAATTAAATTTTATTTCAATTATTTTCAAGCTTTAAATGTTTGCTTCACTTCAGGTTTCTTATTTCTTGTTACTTTGCCGTCTGCGCAGCGCGCTTATTATTTTTTCTAATAATATTTGCTTAAACAAGTTTTGCTTGCTTGTTTGCTTATATATCTTCTTGTGTTTTTTTTTTCTTCTTTTTTGCTTCTTTTATTATTATTATTTTGCCACCACTACAAGAACAACAATGAGCATGAGAACGCTCACAGACACGACGGACACAGGCACCAGACGAGGCTGAGAGGCAGAAAGTAGCGCACAGCACGCAGAACGAACCGCTCGGGATAGTAACACGTCTGATACTGAATCTGTGTAACTGAAATAACATACACCTCGAGTCAAGGCAGCAGCAGCAGCAGCGGAGACGACGACAGCGACGTCGACAGCAGCTGAAAAATCTCGACGCTAGCGTTGGCGTTGGCAGCGCACCCGCACAATACATTATCTGCCCAAAGCCTCAGCCTCTCTGCCTCTCTCTCTCTCTCTCTCTCGCGCTCTATGTGTGTGTTTGGTGTGTGCGTGTGCCTGCCAACCACTGACGGCAGCGGCAACTATACTGTAACTGTATATGTGTGTGTCTGTCTGTGGCTGTGCAGTCAGTAAGTGAAGACCTACAGCGTTGTGTGCGCAAACACATAGATAATCACGCACGCACACACACACACGCTCGCTTGGAGAGCCAGTCACAGTGTTGTTGCTTTGCCGCCGCCATTCATGATTTCCAAACGTTCATGTAATTATGGGAGTGTGTGTGTGTGTATGTCAATGGTTTGGCTTGTGGAAATACCCGCCTTTCTCTCCATGGCCCACGTAAGTGGCAGTCGTTGAGTGGAGTCTGGGACCGGGACTGGGACTGGGATCGGGATCGGAGTCCTCAGCAGCCTGTAAAGGGGCGCAAATAGTTTGTAGTTGCTATCGTTGCATTGGTGATGGATGTGTCTCTATGTGTGTGTGTGAATCTGTTTATGTTGTTCAAACTAATGCTTAAAATGCGGCCTAACAGCAGGCCCTCTCACTCACACACACACGCACACACCCCCATACAAACAAGGAGCAGCAACCAACGCAGTTTGGGGTGTGGGGGGGGAGCTCTTTGTTACTTTTATGTTTGGCATAAATTAGTAGGTTTTTTTGGAGTTAAGCTTTAAGCCTTGTAGACTGGGCAAGAACAAAAGTTAAAACGCCTTCCAATTAATTTGCACCCAAGTGTCGATTGGGTTTTGAAAGCCGTTGGGGGTTCATGAATTTGTTTTTATTGGGTCACAGGCATTAGCCATTCAAATTTTTTGTTCAACACATTTGACAGTTAATCAAAGCGCCTTCTGTTACACTTTTCTTTCTTGGACAATTCTAAGCATTATTAGAGTGCCTCAACACAACTTTTCCATTTGGCAATGAGTTTTTTAAGCTGCTTGACAACGTTAACAGTTAGAGTTGAGAAAACGGGCCTTGGCCTACAAGCTGCATGTGCGAAGTGAAGTAGCTTTGGAGCCCAATTGAGGATTATTTTCACATCTTCTTCTTCTTGCGCACTTTCGAAGCTGCAGCAGTATTTGGAAAACAAGGTCTGACTAAAATAATTCCGATAAAAGAGTTTTTTAATATTAAATATTTATTTCAGTTAAAATCAGCTAAAGGGTACCAATAAATAAAAAAATATGTATAAAATAAATCGCTAAGGTATTTTAAAAAGTTGAAATTTGTTTTCAAACTAAAAATGGACATAAAAGGTCACACATGCGAATAATTTGCAAGCAAATATTTTTTTAAAAACGGTTAAGCAAAGTAATGACATACCTGGAATTCGCGAAATTTTTTGTGCAAATTAATAACCTGGTCAGGCAGCTAGTATAGGTGTTAGATAAAGCATCACTCTTCCCAAATGGACGTACTATGTATATAATAGATGACTAAGTTCTTAGTCCGTTCTCAATAAATACAAATACTTCAATTACAATGCTTTCTTGATGATGAATTCTAGTAAAATGATAAATCTACTTTACTGAGTAAATGAGTTGAAAATAACTGATTTCTTTAGACATGATTGCTAATAAATATAAAAAAATATATGTACATATGAAGGATTGAAAGTAAGCAAAAGGTTGAAATAGTTTGTATTTTCCATCATTACATTTTGTAAGCTTTACTTTCCTAGTAAAAACCTATTACATTTTTCATTTGTATGATTCCCAAACTCTTTTGAATAAGCCGCACCTTATGTTAAGTTAAAATGGAAATAAAAATGCGTTGGTATTGCTGAAAGAAAAATACATTTCCTTGCTACTACTTTAATCGAAATCGCTACAGTTCCAGGCATATATTTGTTGTTGTTGTAGCTGCTCCCTCAGAGCATAAAAACCCTTCTCATATACTGTTGTTAATGTTGTTGGTGCGCTTGTTGTTGTTATTGCGGTTGTTGTTGTCATACGCCAAGCGAGTTTTTTGCCGACTCGCACTCTTTTTTGCTTATTGAAACAATATTTTTTCGTACAACAATATTTATTGACTTTGTCAGCTTTAAAGTAAATTTTATATGTTTATTTGGGCAAGTGTGTGTAGTGTGAGTGTGTGTGTGTTCGTGATTCCAGACAGGCTCACAAATGCCGCCATCCCATGCCGTTCTTTTTTCTGCTTGTCGCTGTTAAGTGTGGGTGTGTGTGTATGAGTGAATGAGTGTGTGTGTGTGTGAGTGAATGTGCTAGTGTGTGTGTGCGCATGCGAGAACTTGCATATTTGCGCAATTTAAAAGTATAATTAGTTTTATTTGCAGAAAAGGAAATTTAATTCAAGCAAGCCAACTCCCTCTCCCTCAATCTGTCTATCTGTCTATAATTCTATCTCTCTGTCTCTGTCACCTCTAGTGTTTCAGTCGCATTGGTAATTGATACAAAAATAATATTTGGCTCTATTAACGCAATCGCATTATTTTGACAAATATTTTTATTGTTTTAACATAATTTTTCGCATGCGAGCCAGCAACGTCGGCAACGTCGGATACCGATGGCGATGGCGGCTTTGAATGCAACCCATACATCCATACATACATGTCATTAGGTATGCGTGTGTGTGTGTGTGTGTGTATTAGAGTTGGCGACCACATCCGGTTGCCTGAGCTGGACTTTATGCTGCGCTCCACACACATGCTGAAGGACCTCCTCTGGCATTTGCAATTCGAATGAGCTTCCGTTTCTTATTTTCTTCGCTTCTCCATTTCAACTGACTGCCATTTTTCACATTTCATTTCTCAGCTGTCCATTGTTGTTGTTGTTGTTGCTGCTGTTTTCGCTGCCACTGCGTTTGCTGATTTTACAAATTTTGTCTTCAGCTTTGCTGCTGTGATTGTGTGTGTGTGTGTGTGTATGTGTGTGCGGGTGTGTCTGTCTCTGCATTTCGCAGAGTTCATGTTATTTTTGCATAGTTGTCTCTGTCTGCCCCAACCCTAATGCCTTTCGCACCCCTCCCACTCACCATCACCACCACCCTCACCATTTCGTCTGTCATCTGACCTATGAAAATATTATTTTAATTTCTCGTACCCGAAATTTTTCTCCACAGCTGTACAGCTGCAGTGAAAGTTCCATTAAATTGCTTTAAGTACGCACAAAGCTAAAGACTTACATTAAAGTTGTCGTGGGAATTACTTGTTAAATAGTCCAATTAAATTGTAAATAGAAAGATTTCTGAGCAAGTGTGAATAAAAGTCTGTACTATACTTAACAAATATACAAATTCCTCTCTCTCTCTCTCTCTCTCTCTCTCTCTCTCTCTCTCTCTCTCTCTCTGGAAAGCAGAATGGAAGTCGTATTGTTCTAAACAGTATTCAGATGATTATATAGCACTTCCTAGTTAAACCGACACACATTAAAAATATAGAAAAGCATACTTTAAGGTCACAGTTTTCAGTTTTACTGCGCAATGCCATTCTTTTTAAAGAACTAATTGAGAAGCAATCATATCATAGATTTTTTAATTAATTTTCGTTGTGCGCTTTTAATTGAATTAAAACTAGAGTGTATGAGAGGCATTTGAGAGTGCATTTTCATTAAAGTCTTTTCAAATATCCGATAAAATGGCAATTTTTTTTAAACTTACAAAAAATTAACTCTTGTCTTTTATGAATTAACTAAACGCTAAGTTATTTCTAATGGTTGGTAAAGCCGTTTTTTATTTCTTTTGTCGCCGAAGTATGTTTATTTTGAAATGTAATTGATTTTTTGAGAAAAATTAGAACATATGTATATGAAAGGCCTATTACCTAGACCTATTATTGCGTCCAGCTGAGTAGATATATATTCTTGTAACCACCATAGAAGTAAATACGTAACAATTACATTTCCCATAATATTACTAGATAGCATAAGTTTTGTCTACAGAAGACTTCAATTGTTTTGCCACTTCTTTAATATAATTTAAGAAATTTGCCCTATTTGACTCGAATACAAGCAATTTAGCAGGCATTTAGTACGCATTTATTTAGCTTTCTTGGTCATAATATCATTGTTGAAATTGCTATTTGTAATGTTCTGGGAGACTAGTCTATTTTCGAAGACACCAATTTACAAGCAACACAATAGAGTTCAACGAGCTTTGTGAACCCATGGACCAAATTATTTGGGAGCAGCTTTAGCGTGTTACTTCTGCAGACATGTTTATCCAAAAACGGTTCGGCAAACAAAAAAAAATGCGATTTAGAAATGTGGGTGATTGGCAGAACGAATTGTATATACACTTGCAAGCGATTCTTAAGTTATCCAGATGATTAATATAAGCTTAAAGCAGCCCTACTTTAGGCTAATTCCTTTTTTTATGAGTAGTTTAATATTTTTTTAACTTCTACTTCTATTATTGTATTTATGATATATTTGT